GGTGGGGGGAAATGAGGGCCCCCTGCCCAGGCCTGACACCCCTGTCAGAGGCGTCAGGCCTGGGCAAGGGGCCGATCCTGTGATTGGAGGGTGATGGGGGTCAATGCCTGAGGGCTCCCAGTATCTGAGAGGGGGCAGGCTGGGCTGAGGGACACTCCCCCACCCACACACCCAGTGCAGGAATTTCGTGCACCGGGCCCCTAGTATAATAATAAATGTCAACTTTAATTGAAAAATTATAAATTGTTTTAATAATTTTAAATAAATAACGTTATTTAATATTAATAATATAACATATTATTTAATATCTATAATAATAAAAGCATAATATGCTAATTAGACTGGGCAGCCAAACGACCTTCCGGACCTCCTTCCAGATGACCTTCCGGATGAAGTTGAGGCTGTGAGGGCTGAGCCCCTTGCATGAATTTCGTGCATTGGGCCTCTAGTTAATAATTTAATAATATAAATAATGTATTTAATATTATTAAATGAGTCTCCTTAGAGAAATGGCTGATTCTAGGACCAGCATAGGACATAAATGAGGTAAATCTGGAGGGTCTTGTAGCGCCAGAAAGTAAGGAAGTGCTCAAGAAAAGGGGAAAGGGGAATACACAGAAATCACTTGAAAGAGCTCACAGTGGCCAAAGTTGGAATATTTTGAGCAACAGATTAAATGCAATAATGATGTGCCCCAGCTGGTGTGGCTCAGTTGGTTGGAGGATCCACTGAAGGGTCATGGTTCGATTTCCAGTCAGGGCACATATCCAGGTTGTGGGTTCGATTCCTGGTCGGGGAATGTACAGGAGGCAACAGATGGAAAGTTTCATCCAACTTTCACAGTTATGATGATTAAAAATGTCTCCAGTTTTGTGAAATATCATTAGTGGGGGGTAGGACAAATAGTCAGACCACCTCAGCCCCCACCCCTGCACTGAGGAGCACGGATTACACTGTGCATTTTACGACAGGATGGAGCAGCCTTCAGTCCTCGCTCCTTCCTCCCCGCCCCCTCCTTTTATCAATGATTTTTTTCTTTCTTTTTTCTTAATTTCTTTTTTTCCCTTTTTTAAAGTGCTCCCATACAGTTTATAACACAGTAACTTGTATATAGTGGTTGCTTAGCAAATTCGTGATGCATTTCTGCCAACTGAATCCTAATTACCAAGAATCATAAATGTTATGGCTGATTCTTGTCAAAAGAAAAACAGTTTTTCTAAATGCAAAGCTTGATGTTGGGAAGATAATTTCTGGTTCTTGGTCACTTGGAGTGTCATTTATGTCCCCTGGGAACCTGGGAACGGGATGCCCTGCAGGCAGCTCAGGCCCACCTGAATGCTCACCATACCTCACAGTCACGGCAGTGCGCCCGGGAAGAACCGGAGGAGAGGCACAGACATGAGTAGGTGCCAAGGAGCGCTGAGGAATGCATGGCTGGCCCGCAGCAACCAGAGAAGACTTCTGCTGTGGTCTCTGGTTTGAGGTGCCATTTACAGCATAGGCCTATTTCCCCAGAGGTTATTCCCATAATTTCTGGAATGGATCTGGATTGGGGAAATGACTCCCAGTTAGATGTTCTATGGAGCCCCCTTGAGAGAGGGCAGGCAGCGCGAGGGAGAGATAAGTCCTGGGCAGTCCTCCCACCTCTGCAGGCGCTGCATCGCTGGAGGAGCAGGTGCATGCCATTAACGCGAGCGCAGAGAATCGCAAATCAAAGGTAACTCAGGAGTGAGCTCCCAGCGTCTCAGGCACTCAAGTCAGGCCGCCCCTTTCTCTGTGGCAGCCCCAGGCGCTCACTGAGCTCGGCCTTTCAGTGCGTCAGCCCGGAGTCGCCCTTCCTGGGCCTCTGCGTGGTGCCTTTGTTGCATTTGACGTGTATTACAATGTCGTTGTCCTTCTCAAGATCACACAGACCTTGTATGTAATTGTGTCTACATGTATATGTACATGTTACATGGAGAAGGTGGGAAGAATCCCGTAGGAATTAGATCTCAGGGTGGCTGTTTCTATCATTTCTCTCCCTTACACCATTTCCCCAGCCTTCCCCTTGGATCCCCACAGGCATAAATGGCCGCTTGAATCCTCTCTCATCAGATGCCCTATTCTTTCTCTCTCGCCAGAAGGAGGGACATGTGAAGTGATAGCCGCGCACAGATGCTGTAACAAGAACCGCATCGAGGAGCGGTCGCAGACGGTGAAGTGCTCCTGTCTACCTGGGAAAGTGGCCGGAACCACCAGGAACCGGCCTTCCTGTGTGGACGGTGAGTCACTGGTGTTACCTCCCTCTCAGGGTGCTCACCTGGGGTCGGGCTCACCAGGCATAACATGTATTTCTGTTTCACCTAAATGTGGCCCAGGATAGTGCACACGGTGCATCCAGAGTAAATGCCAGCCCTCAGGGTAGAGTTTGAATTCTTTTTTCTTGGGCTATCACATTTTTAAGTAGCTCTATTTTAACAATTTTAGAGAAGAAATGTAAGAATCCAGCTCATTTGGGAAGTGATTGTGGATTGAGGTTGCTTACAATGATGAGGGTGATAATGGTAGTAAAGAAAACAATACGTAACATTCATTAAACACATATTTAATGAGCATTTACGATATGCTCGGTGCTTCACATACATTCATGATGGAGTGTGCCAAGCACTGTCCTAAACACTTCTCATGCACTAGATCATTTGCCCTGCAACAAATTACCCTCCACATTTAGCAGCTTTAAACAGCAGACATTATCTCAGTTTCTGTTGGTCAAGAATTCACCTTTGCTGGCTGGTTCTGGCTCAGGGTTTCTCCCGGAGTTGCGGTCACAGCCTGCCTGGTAGTGGAAGACAGCTCTAACACAGCTCACTCACCTGGCTGTGGACAGGGAGCCCCAGCTCCTCACCAGGGGACCTCTCTGTAGAAGTTTGGCGTGCTGCCAACATGGCATCTGGCCTCCCCCATAGTGTGTGAGCCAAGAGAACAATACAGAAGCCAAAATGACCTTTTGACAATCTAAGCTCAGAAGTGACAGGTCATTGTTTCCATGATAACCTATTGGTCATACACATCAGCCCTTGCATTCAGTGTGGAAATGGGCCAGGGCTTGAAGACCAGGAGACAGGGACCCCTGGCACAGGCACACTTGCCCTGCATTTAATTCATGAAGAAAGTGAGACTTAGAAGGGTTAAGTAATTTTCAGTGTCTCATGGATGATAAGTCGTAGCTCAACTAACTCTTTTTCTTTTTAATATATTTTTATTGATTTCAAAGGGGAAGGGAGAGGGGAGAGAGATAGAAATATCAATGATGATAGAGAATCATACATCGGCTGCCTCTGCACCCCCCCCCCACACACACACACACACACACACTGGGGATGGAGCCTACAACCTGGGTATGTGCACTGACTGGAAATCGAACCGTGACCTCCTGGTTCATAGGTCAATGCTCAACCACTGAGCAACACCAGCTGGGCTGAACTAACTCTTGATCCCTGAGTAACTGACCCAGTAATACTAGGTCTTGAGCACCACCTTTAAAGCAATTTTATATGATCTATCAAATAGTGAGTCCAAGGTTCAAAGGGACCACACATTTCTCTTGCCAGCTTCAGCTTTTACCATTTTAGAGCCACGTGTGAGTTGACCGCCAAACTCTTCAGTAAGAAAATCGGGATTAAAGAAGTGAGTCACGAGCTCAGGGTCATAGGCAGGAATTGGAGCTTGACTTTCCTGGCTCAGGGCTCATTCTTCTGGCTCCAGATATAGATGGTAAAAACCTTCCAGATTGGCTCCTGTTACGGATTTTCACCATGAATCAGTATGTAGTTGGTAAGAGAAACACTCTCAAACTGGGCCAAGTAAAGATGAAGTTATTTTTTAAGAAAATAGAAAAATTCTGGGCGAGCCGGGCACAGGAAATTCAGCCAAACTTCAGCTGCCTGCAGAATTCAAAAATTCTCCATCTGCTTTGCTTTGTTTCCGACCTGTTTCCTTCATCCTCCTTTGTGTGGGCTGGTTCCCTCTTCGAGGATTTGAACCTTTGCCTCCCAATAACTCAAGGACGGCATGAGGCTTTCCTTTTAATTGTGCCTGCTCTGAACTCCCTCAGCATCATGATATGTCCCAAATATATTTGACTCAGTTTATGTCTTAAATGCATTCTCTGAAAACACTAAATATGATTGGCCCAGCTGGGGTCACATGCCAACCTTTGCCCAATCAGCCAAAGGAACAAACTTACGAACTTATGTGGCATGCACAGGTGCCCATCTCTTCTGTGGGCAGGTCAATCTTTTTTTGTTAAGGATGTAAAGAAGTGAGGAGAGGAAACACACCATGAGCTAGAGTTCTCCATCAGGGTGATTGTCGGGGTTTATTTGTCAATGTCTGGAGACATTTCAGTCCAGACATCTGTTATAACTAATGGGTGCTCCTGGAATGTGGTGGTAGATGCTGCTAAACATCCTACAATGCAGAGAGCCCCCACCACAGGCTGTCATTCAGCCCCAAATGTCAGTGGAGCTGCAGCTGAGGAACCTGCATGTGGTTATTTCTAAATTCCAGTCAACACAACAAGGCACTTCCAGTGCGGGGAAGGCAGGCGGCTAGACCAGAAAAGTTGCCTCACCCTCTCACCAGAGAAAACTCTTGGTCCTAGAAGCCAATAAACATAAAACCATAATGGTTTCTCCTGTTCTCGCCAAAGAAAGCCCTGAGTCTGTTAACGATAAATCCCATTTCATTTCAGTTCATTTTTGTCTCTAATGATCGAGAGCTGCAACTGCCTTCAGGGTTTGGATGCCAGGCACCGAGAGGGAGGCTGTGTCTGCTGGCAGAGGGGTGGCAGCGGGCCCTCATTCTGGGAGAAGCTAAGCCATGTCATGGTAGCATTTGTCTCTCAGAGCAGGTCTGTTTGGCGCGGGAAACTCTGAACCATTAGGGTGGTAGGTCCGGGCATGAGGGTTATTAGTCTCTATCTTCCAAGTGAAAGCCAAAGAATAAAGTGTTCCAGAGTCTCCCGCCGGCTGGTTTCCTGGGCCCACTGCCATGGATGGCAAGTCTGTGTGTTGCTATGATCAAAATGGACTCAATGGCCTAGATCTCTACATGCAGATTAAATCTGAAGTGTGGATGTAAATTAATATTTCTAGTACAGTAATTAAGCCATGACCTTGGGCGAGTGACATTTCTTTTCTAACCTGCTTCCTGGTCTGTAAAATGGGGATAATAATTGTTTCTACTTCACGCAGTGAAGGGAGTCATGTGTACACTGTGTTCTGCATGATGGCCGGTTCCCGTGATCGTTAAATGATGGCCTCTGTTTCCTGTTTCGCAAATGCATGCTGGTCATGCTTCAGAGGAGGCATTGCTTCACGAAGTCCTGTTTTTATGTTAATTCAACACAGGGGCATTTTAGTCACCAACTTTTCTTGGAACTGCTTCTGACCATTTACCCTGGATATAGCGAATGCCATATTCAGAAATACATGCATGTTCATTTTAGGAATCTTGAAAACTAAAAAAAAAAAAAAATGCATCTGTACATTAAAATCACCCATAACATTGTTGCTCAAAGCTTATCATTGCTTTATAAGGCAACATGTGCACCTCTTTCCAGCCTTACCCCTTATTAAAGAGAAACTCACATACTATGTATTTTATTAAACTAAAATATTGTAGTACTGTTTTATCAGCAATTTGTTTCATTTGCTATATGGTGAGCATTTCCCAACTTAATGCACACTCTTTGGACATCTCTGTCAGTAGCCACATAGATTCAGGGAGGATCACCACCGTTTATCTAACTATGTTCCACTTTGGTTCATAGATGGGGCTTAGTGCACTTACCTTCCTCAGCCCAGGAAGCCTAGAACCAGCCCCTGCCCTTGACAGCACTTGTCGGTCCACGAAGCACATTTGTCCTAAATATAATCTGTAGCACCTGGTTCCTTTCCCATCACAAGTGTTCTGATGGCTGTTACTCACTTTCCTCGGAAAGTGTGGGTCAGTGGCAATTTCTACAGTACTTTCAAAAGCAGAACAGAAGATTTTAAAATAAGCATGTATTGGATTATAAAAATAAGCATATATTCCAAACCTGAAGCCAGATCATTTTAAATGGGACATAAATTCTGCAGTACAATCTTAGCAACTTATTTAAAAGTGTGATTTATGAAATTTGGAGAAATTTTGAAGTAGTGAATTTTAGTTTTAAAATGATATTCTATTGGCTAGTGACTGAAAATAGCAAAAAGCATGCTCAACAACTTAAGTTTGGGGGTACTCATTGTAAATATTATAAAAAGCAGGATTCCTTGGACTTGGCTCTAGCATGATTCTGAAGGACTATGCCTTTATAGTTTAATCCACACCCTGAAGTGTTTTAATTAAATCTATAACCCAAAATGGGGGTGGGGACATCCTTACTCAATATCTTTGGTTGAGACCAACTCAGACTATAATGTACAACCTTCTATTAATCTCCAATTACAGTTCTTAATCTCCTTAAACAATGCTGGGGTTAGGGGTGTCACCTGCACCTCCCCACCCCCAGCCCCAAGTAGCGGAAAATCTGAGTATAACTTTTGACTCTACAGTGTGCCCTTCAATACTGTGGATTCAACCAACCAAGAACCAAAAGCTGTCTTTCAAATTCATGGTTGGAAACCATGGTTGGAAATGCAAAACTGCTTTTTGATCTGTGGTTGGTTGAATCCACAGATGCAAAGCTGACAGACATGAAAGGTTCACGTATAAGTGGACACAGACCATTCAAACCCATGTTGTTCCCAGGTCAGCTGTACTTTCCAGGGACTAAACTTAAAATAAAATAAAAGCTCACAAACAAGAGACGGTGTTTCAAAACATAATTATTTACTTTAGGGAAGACCTTCTCCAAGCAGATATGGAAAACAAACAAACATAAAGGAGGCTTTTTAAAATATGCTTTATTATTCTAATTGATCTGCAATGGCATAGAATATCCAGCTCAATATTTTAAAATTAATGGAATATAATTAATAAAAATAATGATAACAATAATAAAAATAATGGCTAACATTTTCTTGAAAGCTTACCACTTTTCCACGTCCTTCAAGTCTGTACATTTATTTAATTCTACCTCCAAGCCCATGTGCTATATTCTTCCATTCCATTTTACCCATCAAGAAGCGAGCCACAGAGATTGGGAGGCACGCTCAAAACCCCGCAGCCTGCAGTGGCAGAGCCACGAGGTCGCCTGGGCTCCCTGACTCCAGGGCCTCTGACTATCAGTCAC